TATAACTATACAACTATTAATCTCCTTACTAAGTGAAAACCTAAGCATGACATTGAATTTATTTCTAATTAAGCTTGGTTGTAATTATCATCTCCTCAGAATATCTTCTTTCTTCTTTTTTTTTCTTTTTTTTAGGAGAGAGAATATCATTTATCAATTAAAATGGTTAATGCCCTTATAAGATTGATATTAGACCACAGGATCAGTCCACCGCTGGTGTTGTTCACACACGTTACTTTCTTAAAATAAAATCTTATAAAAGTTGCTATATATAATATTAAATATAAATAGATATAAATTTACATATTTTGTTATAGATTATTTTGTATGATTGTGTAAAATTAGTAGTTAATAATTTTGTCTAACTTAATTATTATTAATAATTAGTTTTAAACTATTATATCAAACACACAAAAAAAAAATATATATATATATCTTATCATAATTGTTTACATTGCGACACATAAGATGTAAATTTATGGGATTTCTTAAAAAAAAATGTAATGGAGGAAATAATCTTACATTTTAAACTTAATAAGATAAATAATGATATTAACAAGTAAAATGGAAAAACAATTTAAAATTTTAATATAAAAATTAAAAAAATGCATATAGGTTCTCCCTCTTACAAAATAAGTCACAAATCTCATGAAGTCATATGTATCATATTTTGTTAATATTTTAAAAAATTAACGGTTAAATTAAATCTGTGACACAGTATACTCATTTTTTTTAATTCTGATTATTAGTTATTTATTTTTAATTTTAATTTTTATAAATTTTGTAATTATTAAAAAATAAAATTAAAAACTAAAGAACAAGGGAAAAATTACAATGTTTAATAACAACTATTAAAAAATGTAAAATATAATATAAATTTTAATTTTATTAAATTTATTATATAATAATTACTGAACATTTTGATATTTTAGTATTAAGATGTTCTGATCTTTTCTTTCTACAAAACAAAAATCTAAATATTAAGATTTTGGTTGTTGGTTTTTGTTTTTAGATTTCAAATAATCAAAATTATCAATTAAAAACAAAAGTTAAAAATTAAAATTGACAATTTATAAATGTAAAATTTTTAAACTAATACTTAATCTTTCAAACTTAATTAATTTATGGATCTCAATTTTAATTTACCCTTTTAAATCTTTAAAAATTAAAATTTAAAATCACAATCATAGTAAAAGGACCTTAAAAACTACAACCATAACCTAAATGAACAACAAACAATAACTTAATTAAATTAATATCTATTAATTTAAAATTTTTAACTTAAAAGTAAAATTAAAATTTAAAACTTTATAATATCCAACAGCTTAACCT